CGCTCAGCAATCCATTTTGCTGTGGAGAGGCCGGAAGCGTGAAGGTCTGGTGGATGCCCTGTGCTCGACAGAAGGCTCCCAGACGGGCAGAGGAAAACTCCCCGCCTCTGTCAGAGTGCAGACGCAGAACAGGAAAGTCCGAGCCGAAACTCTCTCCGAGCTGGAGACGAGCTGCGCGGATCCAGTCGATCAACACCTCAGTGACGTCACCCTTGCTGCGCAAGGGGAAGACTTTGGTGTAACGCGAGTAGTCATCAACCACCAACAGGAAGTAACGCTCGTGCCCCTGGCCACGGACGCGGGCGGGGCCCCACACGTCCATGTGAAGAGTCTGCAGCGGAGCCTCTGTCGGAGGAAACTCGGAGGAGTGAGGGGCGGCGCGCTGTCGCCCCTCGACGCAGGGGACGCAGGTAGGGGCAGGCCCCGGAGGTAGGGGAGGGAGAGACCGAGGGAGACCAGAGACAAGGACACGGGAGGCCATGCCTCGGAGACGAGGCAGGGAGGGGTGACCAAGGCAGTGGTGCCAAAGGAGAGTCTGGTGGGACAGGAGACGACACGAGCAGGGAGCAGACTCAGGACCAGACCTGGACGCTGCAGCAAACACCTGACTCGACGCAGCTACCTGACCAGACTCAGCAGCCGGAGGAGACTCAGTAGTAAGTGTGTACAGGCTCGACCCCGGCCGACGGGTGAACGTGGCCAAGTGTCGGCCTGTCCGAGCACACGTGCAGTGGGTCACCCGCTGACTCGCAGGAGTGAACTGGTCAACCCCCCTATCCTGTAGATCAGCTCCACTCACCAAGTTCATAGAGAACGAGGGGAGGTAGAGACCTGACAGGGTGCCAGAGGGGGCTGCCGGACACGGTAAGACAGTGGAGAAGCTAGCAAGGACAGGACCCCCAGAGGGGTCCGCCAGGGAGACTGCAACCGGCCGACTAAGCGGCGTAAGCGTGGTGCGGTCTCGAAAGAAGGAGCGGGAAGCACCCGAGTCAAGGGTGAAGGTGTGTAAGGCCTGAGCCGACGTAGTACCTGAGAGAGCAGACTCACCAGCACCTGGGGCAGCAGACGCACTAGCACCTAGAGCAGCAGCCTCACCAGCACCTAGAGCAGCAGCCTCAATGCCCGGGTCAGGCGGAACACACAGGTAACAGTCACCCTCAACACTATCAGACACAGCATACATGGCAGCAAGAATAGCATCATAATCAAGATCAAAGATAGCAACCCCCGCCCTAGACAGCTCTCCCCAGCGAGGGATCTCAGTGGCGTCAGGGAACTGGTGACGCCACGCGTCCGTCAGGCGGCCGAAGCACCGCTGGGTGGAGTGCGGGCCCCCGCACTGCTCACCAGCGCGGTCGCCGGTACGAAGGACGTAGGTGCAGGGACCATTACCCCCACCACGCTGACGCGCAGCGTACCACTCACGAAGCTGCTGAGGGGACAGGGTCTCACGACTGCGCTGCTGCTGCTGGCGCGGACCACCACCTGACCCACTCCTCTGCGCAGAGCCGCGACCAGCTCCACCGCTGCCGCCGCCGCCTCCGCCACCTCCGCCGCCTCCGCCACCTCCGCCGCCTCCGCCACCTCCGCTCCCTCCGCCACCGCCGCCGCCTCCTCCGCCTCCACTGCTGCCACCGACACCTCCACCCCCGCCACCACTCCCACCACCACCCCCACCCCCTCCACTGCCTCCACCACCACCTCCACCGCCCCCGCCAGCCCCTCCAGCGCCCTTGCCCCCCTTGCCCTTGCCCTTGCGGCGTCTCCCGCTAGGGGCAGACGCAGCGCCGACCGACTCGAAACCAACGAGGTCGGCCGCAGCAGCAGAAGCAACAGAGGGCAAGAGGGGGGAGGGGGAACACCCCTCAAAGACGGGGGTGCGAGGATCACCACGAGAGGCTCCTACAGCGACTATGCTCTTCTCTGCTGCTAGGAGGCGCTCCTCGAGGAGGTCAACGGTGAGTGTGGTGGGGCAAACTGAGAGGAAGTGGTCCCTGACTAAGCGAAGGGAGTCAGGGAGCCGGGTGACTATGTAGTAGAGGGTGATGTACATGGGGTGGGGTTCTTGGCACAGAACTCAGCAGGAAGCGCAGCGCGGTAGCGAGTGTCACTAGTGCGAAGGTGCGTAATGAGGTCAGTGACTGTGGGAAAGGCAGCAAGGTCAGGGAACAGGTACGGCAGCATGAGGCGGCTAAGCGCAGCAGTGGCAGGGGAGGAGTAGCGTGCAACTACAGCGTCGTACAAGGTCTTAGCACTCTTGTACTGGCTAAAGTGCGCACGCTCAGTGGTCGGTAAGTGGCGACGCACAGCAAGGCGGGCAGCAGCATCGCGTGTGGCCCACTGTGAGCGAACAGTGCTGTCAGCAGTAGCAGGCGGGGCAGGAGAGGCACCAGAGGTGAGATCGAACAGGGAGAGTCCGTCTGCCCTATCGCACTGTAGGAACAGCTGGAGGTCATCGACCCAGACCTCAAAGTCAACAGCACGACCCTCAGCATCAAAGGTAAGGACACTGGGAGTAGCCATGACTGCAGTGGCCTAGCAGGGAGTGATCTCACCAGTCCGAGTAAGTAGGGTTGGGGCGAGCCGGTAGGAACTGTCAGAATCCCAACCACTAGACCATTGGGATAAAAGGGCTTGTTAAGTAGCGGGTCAGTGCGCCCATAACCCCCCAGGCCAACATGCCTGTAACCCTTCCCTAGGATCAATCGGGGATCACCAGTGGACCTCTGACACCCCCCCGCACTGGGATGCCCGAAGTGCACACACTGGGATTCGAACCCGAGACCTTCCCTCTGATACCATGTCAGAATCCCAACCACTAGACCATTGGGATAAAAGGGCTTGTTAAGTAGCGGGTCAGTGCGCCCATAACCCCCCAGGCCAACATGCCTGTAACCCTTCCCTAGGATCAATCGGGGATCACCAGTGGACCTCTGACAGGAACAGTAGGGGCTCGACGGCAGGACGGCTCGGCGGCTCGGCTGCTCGGCGGCTCGGCGGCTCGGTTGCTGGGCGGCTCGGCGGCTCGGCGGCTCGGCTGCTGGGCGGCTCGGCGGCTCGGTGGCTGGGCGGCTCGGCGGCTCGGCGGCTCGGCTGCTGGGCGGCTCGGCGGCTCGGCTGTTGGGCGGCTCGGCTGCCGGGCGGCTCGGCGGCTCGGCTGTTTGGTGGTTCGGCTGCTCAGCTGCTGGGCGGCTCAGCGGTGAAGGGGCCGGTAGAGGCGGCGACGGGGCCGGTAGAGGCGGCGATGGGGCCGCTAGGGGCGGCGACGGGGCCGCTAAGGGCGGCGAGGTGGCCGCGAAGGGGCGGCGACGGGGCCGCTAGGGGCGGCGACGGGGCCGCAGAGGGGCCGCAAGGGGCCTAGAGGGGCGGCGACGAGGCCGCGAAGGGGCCGTAAGGGGCCTAGAGGAGGCGGCGACGGGGCCGCAAGTGGCGGCGACGGGGCCGCGAAGGGGCCGCGAGGGGCCTAGAGGGGCGGCGACGGGGCCGCTAGGGGCGGCGACGGGGCCGTGAAGGGGCCGCGAGGGGCCTATAGGGGCGGCGACGGGGCGTAGAGCGGCGGCGACGGGGCCGTGAAGGGGCCGCGAGGGGCCTAGAGCGGCAGCGACGGGGCCTAGAGCGGCGGCGACGGGGCCGTGAAGAGGCCGCGAGGGGCCTAGAGGGGCGGCGACAGGGTCGCTAAGGACGGCGACGGGGCCGCTAAGGGTGGCGCGAGGGGCCTCTAGGAGGGCGCGACGTGAGGGCGGCCTACGGGGCGCGCCTCGGGCAGGAAAAAAAAGTCGAGTTCAGTGGTGGGCCCTGAGAAGCGTTCCCATGAGGGAACCTGCTCTATACCATGTGAAGAATGAGGAATGAATGAACTAGCACAAGGTTGGGTACAAGTAGGAAACCCTAGGAAACTGTACCCCATAGTGTCTACCCCACTATAGCCTAGACAAGCTATATGATATAAGTTTGACATGAACCTGTTTTACGCTACTGATAAATTTGGGTTATGATATTTCTTGGAGCACTTAGTGTTACATCGAGCGGAATTCACCGCTATCTTTTCTTTGCTTAAGCCTACTACACACGTATAGCTCGCAGTGCAATGTCTGAACATTTGGAGAACAATACGAGGTACAAGTGTGAATGGCTTGTTTACCATTTGGTAATCATTCAATTGCTTGTTTACCATTTGCTGCATAGTTCATCTATGATTGCATTCGAACCTATGCAACAAGTGGTTTGTTGGCAGGAAAAAGATGGTATGCACAAATGTAACTACATCTCCTTAAATAGACTATTAGGTGTTCAGTGGTTGTGATATATGTCTCAGTCATATGTGTCAACTTGATGCACCTTGTGACTCTTTATGCACTCCATTGTGAATTAGGTCTTATGATTCTTTTGCACACTTCAGTGACATGTCTTGAGATAGCAGGGCGCAGACAATGAGGCTAGATTGATTGCATTGCTGAAAATGAAACCAATGGCATTGTTTTGTACCATTATTTGCACATTTTTGTAAAACTGTGTGTTCCTCTTACTACCTCTCCTTCACCAAGTACATTATGATGAACAAGTTGTACCAATACATCATTGGAGCCACAAGGTCCAATGATCTAAGGAGGACAGTTTCAAAGTTGCCTCGGAAGTTCGTGTTGTATGATGAGTCGAGGAAGACACCTCCCTTTCCACATGCATACTACGATGCAAAACACATCGTTGGAGCCACAAAGGTCCCACCAGCTAAGAAAGACCACTAACACCCGTGTGCAGCTCTTTCACCACCACTACGCCCTGCCTCTCGGCAATAACACAGCCCGTCCTGCCACTCGTACCATTGACCACACCTATTGCCACTCGCTGCCACATCGTCAGCAGCACCAGCACCAGCAGCCTCTCACTATTGTAATCTTCGCAGGAGCAGAAATGCGGTGACAAAACCAGCAGCAAAAAAAGCACGCCTTCCAATGCTGGAGTAAGAGAACATTTCACTCATCTTTCTTGGTTTGTCACTA